GATGTGTCCAGGATGGGAGGTATATTTGTCCCAGGTTCATGCTTTACACTGACTGTTTCTCCTGTTGTGCTGTGTAGTGAGCCTGTCTGGCTCACTGATGATGTAATGAGCTCAGCTGTAGTGAGTTAAGGGCTCTGGGCTCTATAAGACTCCCAGGCTGCTTAGAGAGGATGCTCCAACCTGTAACCAGTTTGCTGTGCAGGACAGACTGGGGAGCAACCAAACCATCCTGTGGTGAGAGATAATCTGTGTGATTTTAGACTGTGAGAACACCATGGGGTTTATTTACTAAAGCTGGAGAGTGCAAAATCAGACTCACTTCTGCATAGAAACCAATCAGCTTCCAGTTTCATTGCCAAAGCTCATTGAACAAGCTGAGGTTAGAAGCTGATTGGTTTCTATGCAGAAGGGAGTCTGATTTTGGACTCTCCAGCTTTAGTAAATAAACCCCCATGTGTCTGAGCAGTGATAAGCTGTATTCAGACAGCTAGATAGGAACCTGTGTTTGCAGTTAGATGCCCAGTGTGGCAAGGTTTTATTTTTCTGTTTTTTTTTTTGTTTTTTTTTGCTGTTTTGACTATATGCACCGTGTGTTCACCAGACTTGTAAATAAAGCACAGCTTTTCACCAAGATCCTGCTGTCGTGCTGAGCCTCTTTCACGGTGTTCTGACCCATCCAGGGGGTCAAGCACAACCTGCTACTGGGCTAATCCCTCACTATATATATACAGTCAGGTCCATAAATATTGGGACATCAACACAATTCTAATGATGGCTTGCTTCACTGATAGTGACAGCTCTTTGGATCTCATCTTGAGAGTTGACAGCAAGATTCCAAATGCAAATAGCACACTTGAAATGAACTCTGCACCTTTTATCTGCTCATTGTAATTGGGATAATGAGGGAATAACACACACCTGGCCATAGAAACAGCTGAGAAGCCAATTGTCCCATTACTTTTGGTTCCTTAACAAGTGGGAGGCACATATGCAAACTGTTGTAATTCCTACACCGTTCACCTGATTTGGATGTAAATACCCTCAAATTAAAGCTGACAGTTTGCAGTTAAAGCACATCTTGTTTGTTTCATTTCAAATCCATGGTGTGGTGGTGTATAGAGCCAAAAATGTTAGAATTGTGTCGATGTCCCAATATTTATGGACCTGACTGTATATATATATATTGCTCAAAACAATTAAAGGAACACATCGGATCTCAATGGGGAAAAATATCATACTGAACATCTATACTGGTATGGACTGGTTAATGTGTTAGGAACGTAAGGATGCCCCATCTTTTGATGGAAATGAAAACGATCAACCTACAGAGGACTGAATTCAAAGGCACCCCAAAAATCAAAGTGAAAAAATGATGCAGCAAGCTAGTCCAGTTTGGTGAAATTTCACTGCAGCAACTAAAAATGTTACTCTGTAGTTTGTATGGCCCCCACGGCTTGTATGCATACCTAACAACATTGGGGCCTGCTCCTAATGAAACGATGAATGGTGTCCTGGGGTACTTCCTCCCAGATCTGGACCGGGGCATCACTGAGCTCCTGGACAGCCTGAGGTGCAACCTGGTTGTGTCGGATGGATCGAAACATGATATCCCAGAGGTGTTCTATTGGATTTAGGTCAGGTGAGTGTGGGGGCCATTCAATGATATACTGTTCAAAATAATAGCAGTCAGACATCACTAACCTGATCAATCACTGTTTTTGGTAGAAATGATATTTCTACATGGCAAATAATTTACTTGCAGGTGTAGTAGAGTAATAGAAATCCAACAGTCATGACATGCATGCTGCTGATTCTGTGTAATTGAATCACTAATTGAAAGGGGCATGTTCAAAATAATAGCAGTGTGGAGTTCTATTAGTGAGGTCATTCATTATTTGAAAAACAGGTAGCAATTATTGCCCTTATTTAAGGAAGGAAGGCAGCAAATGTTGTACATGCTGGTTACAGTGCATTTCTCTCTGAAATTCTGAGGAAAATGGGTCGTTCCAGACATTGTTCAGAAGAACAGCGTACCTTGATTAAAAAGTTGATTGGAGAAGGGAAAACATATAAAGAAGTGCAGAAAATGATAGGCTGCTCAGCTAAAATGATGGCAAATGCTTTAAAATGGCAACCAAAACCTGAAAGACGTTGATGAAAGCGAAAAACTACCATTCGAATGGATAGAAGAATAGCCAAAATGGCAAGGACTCAGCCAACAATCAGCTCCAGGAGGAACAAAAAGAAGGTCTAAAGTTACCTGTGAGTACTGTTACAATTAGAAGACGCCTATGTGAAGCCAAGCTGTCTGCAAGAAGCCCCCGCAAAGTCCCACTGTTGAAAAAAAGACATGTGCTGAAGAGGTTACAATTTGCCAAAGAGCACATTGACTGGCCTAAAGAGAAATGGCGCAACATTTTGTGGACTGATGAAAGTAAGATTGTTCTTTTTGGGTCTAGTGGCCAGAGACAGTTTGTCAGACGACCCCCAAACACTGAATTCAAACCTCAGTACACTGTGAAGACAGTGGAGCATGGTTGCACAAGCATCATGATATGGGGATGTTTCTCATACTACGGTGTTGGGCCTATTTATTGCATACCAGGGATCATGGATCAGTTTGAATACATCAGAATACTTGAAGAGGTCATGCTGCCTTATGCTGAAGAGGAAATGCCCTTGAAATGGGTGTTCCAACAAGACAACGACCCCAAACACACCAGTAAACGTGTAACATCTTGGTTCCAGACCAACAAGATTGACATTATGGAGTGGCCAGCCCAATCCCTGGATCTTAATCCAATAGAAAACTTGTGGGGTGACATCAAAAAAATGCAGTTTCTGAGGCAAAACCAAGAAATAGAGAAGAACTGTGGAATGTAGTCCAATCATCCTGGGCTGGAATACCTGTTCACAGGTGCCAGAAGTTGGTTGACTCCATGCAACACAGATGTACAGCAGTTCTCAGAAACAGTGCTTATACAACTAAAATATTCATTAAGTGATTCAAAGGAAAGCAAAATCTTCAAACATTTTTCAGTTTATATAGTGAATGTTTGAGTTTGTAAAGAAGAATACAAACACTGATATTTTTTTGAACCGTCTAATTTTCACTTTTCTTTAATTTTTTTTAGAGGAACAACACAAACTTGATATATTTTTCTTCATGTTTTGATTTGGAATAGAATGTGTAGTGTTCCCAATGCATTTGTGTGTATGGAAATAAAAGCTATTAGAAGGATTTTGAGCTTTATTCACTTTTTTCAACACACTGCTATTATTTTGAACACAACTGTAAGTTCCTTCATCCTCAAGGAACTGCACCAGGAGGAACCCAGGAACCACTGCACCAGTGTAGGGTCGGACAATGGGTCCAAGGATTTCCCAATACCTAATACCAGTCAGGTTGCCATTGTCTAGCCTGTAGAGGTCTGTGCATCCCTCCATGGATATGCCTCCCCAGACCATCACTGACCCACCACCAAAAAGGTCATGCTGAATGATGTTACAGGCAGCATAACATTCTCCATGGCTTCTCCAGACCCGTTCATGTCTGTCACATGTGCTCAGGGTAAACCTGCATTCATCTGTGAAAAGCACAGGGTGCCAGTGGTGGACTTGCCAATTCTGGTGTTCAGTAGCAAATGCCAATCGAGCTCTATGGTGCCGGGCAGTGAGCACAGGGCCCACAAGAGGACATCGGGCCCTCAGGCCACCCTCATGAAACCTGTTTCTGATATTTTGGTCAGAGACATTCACACCAGTGGCCTTCTGCGGGTCATTTCATAAGGCTTTAGCAGTGCTCATTCTGTTCCTCCTTGCACAAAGGAGCAGATACCGGTCCTGCTGATGGGTTAAGGACCTTCTATGGCCCTGTCCAGGTTTCCTAGAGTAACTGCCTGTCTCCTGGAATCTCCTCCATGCTCTTGAGACTGTACTGGATACAAAGCAAACCTCTGGCAATGGCACGCATTGATGTGCCATCCTGGATTAGTTGGACTGCCTTTGCAACCTCTGTAGGGTCCAGGTATCACCTCATGCTACCACTAGTGACACTGACCCTAGCCAAATGCAAAACTAGTGAAAAACAGTCAGAAAGGATGAGTAGGGGAAAAAATGTCAGTGACCTCCACCTGTAAAACCATTCCTGTTTCGGGGATCGTCTCATTGTTGACCATGTAGTGCACTGTTACTGAAACTGATTAACAACCCCTCTGTTATTTAACTGACCAGATCAATATCCCAGGAGTTGGCCAACCCATTGTAGCTATACCAGCTTCAACTCTTCTGGGAAGGCTGTCCACAAGGTTTAGGAGTATGTCTATGGGAATGCTTGACCATTCTTCCAGCAGCGCATTTGTGAGGTCACGCAGGTCAGGCATTGATGTCAGATGAGAAGGCCTGGCTCGCAGCCTCCGCTTTAATTCATCCCAAATGTGTTCTATTTGCTTGAGGTCAGGACTCTGTGCAGGCCAGTCAAGTTCCTCCACCCCAAACTCACCTATGTCTTTATGGGCCTTGTTTTGTGCACTGGTGTGCAGTCATGTTGGGACAGGAAGGGGCTATTCCCAAACTGTTCCCACAAAGTTGGGAGCAAATTGTCCCAAAATGAAATTGCCCAAAATGTCTTGGTATGCTGACATCTTAGGAGTTCCTTTCACTGGAACTAAGGGACCAAGCTAAAATCCTGAAAAACAACCCCACACCATAATCCCCCTCCATCAAACTTTACGTCCATCGGATTGCAGAGATAGAAGTGTGATACATCATTCCAGACAACACCAGACAAAACGTGCTTTACGCCACTGCATCCAATGCTTTGCATTGCACTTGGTGATGGTATGCTTGGATGTAGCTGCTCAGCCATTGAAACCCATTTAAAGAAGCTCTCTACGCACCGTTGTTGTGCTAATCTGAAGGCTGCACAAAGTTTGGAGGTCTTTAGCTATTGACTCTGCAGACAGTTGGTGACTTCTGCTCACTGTGCACTTCAGCATGCGCTGACCCCGCTCTGTCATTTTACTTTGCCTACCACTTCGTGGCTGAGTTGCTGTTGTTCCCAGTTGCTTCCACTTTGTTATAATACCACTAACAGTTGACTGTGGAATATTTAGTAGCAAGGAAATTTCATGGATGGACTTATTGCAGAGGTGGCAACCTATCACAGTACCATGCTTGAATTCACTGAGCTGAGAGCGACCCATTCTTTCACAAATGTTTGTAGAAGCAGTCTGCATGCCTAAGTGCTTGATTTTATACACCTGTGGCCATGGAGGTGATTGGAACACCTGAATCCAATGATTTGGACAGGTGTCCCAATAATTTTGGCAGTGTGTGTGTATGTATATATATAAAAAATATATATGTGTGTGTGTGTGTGTATATGTATATATATATATATATATATATATATATAATATACATACATACATACAGTCTACACACCCCTGATAAAATGTCAGGTTTCTGTGATGTAATAAACTTAGATAAAGATAAAATTTCCGAACTTTTTCCACCTTTTAATGTGACCTATAAACTGTACAACTCAATTGACAAACAAATTGAAATTTTTTTTGGGGGGAAAACATAAAAAAACTAAAATAATGTGTGCACACCCTCTTATAAGTGGGGATGTAGCTGTGAATCATATTCAAAATCATGTTAAATAGGAGTCAGTACACACCTGCCATCATTTAAAGTGCCACTGATTAACCCCAAATAAAGTTCAGCTGTTCTAGTAGGTCTTTCCTGACATTTTCTTAGTCGCATCCTACAGCAAAAGCCATGGTCCGCAGAGAGCTTTCAAAGCATCAGAGGGATCCCATTGTTAAAAGGTATCAGTCAGAAGAAGGGTACAAAAGAATTTCCAAGGCATTAGATATACCATGGAACACAGTGAAGACAGTCATCATCAAGTGGAGAAAATATGGCACAGCAGTGACATTACCAAGAACCGGACATCCCTCCAAAAATAATGAAAAGATGAGAACTGGTCTGGGAGGCTGCCAAGAGGCCTACAACAACATTAAAGGAGCTGCAGGAATATCTGGCAAGTACTGGCTCTGTGGTACATGTGACAACAATCTCCCATATTCTTCTTATGTCTGGGCTATGGGGCAGAGTGGCAAGACGGAAACCTTTTCCTACGAAAAAAAACATCCAAGCCTGGCTAAATTTTGCAAAAACACATCTGAAGTCTCCCAAAACCCAACCGAGCATCAAAATGGGAAGAAGACGCAGATTTAAGTGACTTTGAACATGGCATGGTTGTTGGTGCCAGACAGGCTGTTCTGAGTATTTCAAAAACTGCTGAGTTACTGGGAGTTTCATTCACAAACATCTCTAGGTTTTACAGAGAATGGTTCGAAATAGGAAATATCCAGTGAGCAGCAGTTGTGTGGACGAAAATGCCTTGTTGATGTCAGAGATCAGAGAATAGGTAGATTGGTTGCTGCTACATTCAGATGATAGGGTCAGAATTTGGAGTAAATGACATGAAAGCATGAATCCATCTTGGACTGGTGGTGGTGTAATGATGTGGGGGATACTTTTTTGGCACAAGCAAGGTGTACCTAAAAGAAAAAGTGGCCAGTAAGTGTGTATATATGTGTGTGTGTGTGTATATGTACAGTATATATATATATATATATATATATATATATATATAAATATATGTTAAACCCTTCTTGCCAACTGGCCCAAAAGCTCCTAAAGTCAAGTTTAGGAGGAGCCAGCGTTAGAGGAGAAGATTATAAACAAAGATGTTAGTAAAAAAATAAATAAAATAAAAATAGTAAAAAATAAATACAAATAAAGATAAAAAAGCTAGATCAGGGTTTGAGAGCAACCCTTCTCAACCTTTTCAACACAGAGGAACTCTTGAAATATCTGTCCAGTCTAGGGGAACCCCTGCTAAAAATTATTACATCTACAACTCATGATACATTAGTGTGATGGTCAGTGGGAAGAATGCTTCTTACGTTTGAGGTCAATGGGAAGACATACCCCCATACAGGTAGCTAAAAAAGATCTGTAACACTACACCCTGGGGGTTGCTAAGAGAATTGGGACAGCCAGTCATTCAGCAGTTTCCACACAAGCTTTCATCCGGAGACAGAAATCAGACCTTGAGCTTTGGTTTTGTTATTTTATTGAAGGGATTAGAACTTGGATAGGGTAAGGAGGGGGGGTATAGAATGCCTAAGGGAATTGATATCTCAGGACAAACTTCCTGAACTATTCACAACTTCTTGAAGTAACACAGTTTCTGTTGGAGTGCTAGCCAGCAGCTCCTGGTTGTACCACCCCTTGATGAACTCTTTTTCACCCAGAAATCTGGCAACTTTCTTCCTGAGCAGGAGGTCTGTCTCCTGACCTTTTAATTGAGGTGAACAGTCACTAGTAGGAGGCTAATCTGTTTTCCCACCAGAGTGCTCCTTCTCCTATCCTCCCAGGGGGTGCAGGCGTGCTCACTGAGATCCTCTCCCTTCCACTTGTGGGTTTGCTGCTGCTATCAGGCCTATCAGCTGGGCAGCTCCTTCACTGCCCTACAGGTAGTCTTGTCTCAGGGGCCCAGTGACTACTCCTTTCCAGCTCCAGGCTCAAAGGCAGGCCCCATCTCACTAGGTCTCCTGGCAGCCTTCCTCCTCCAGCCTCACATCTTCCTTCAGCAATCTCTTTACCTCTCACGCACACTACTACTCCTACTGAGCAGGCTCCTGCACTTTTAAGGGAGTCCTAGCCCCTTGCCAAGCCTTCTGTTGGGGATTGTCTGAGGTCCCTCAAGAGTGCAGCCAACCACTTCTCTGATCCACCCACTACCTCCAAGGACCTTCTCCAAAAGTCTCAGAGCAGGGGGAAATTTCAGAGGGGCTGGCCTGCAAAGTCTCTCAGTCCTGACCACAATTTGGCCCCTCTGGCTATTACACTTGAGCTGCTAACCATCTCCTGACTAACCATTAGGGTCTAGCTCCCCTTAGCTGACCTAAGAGGGTGCTACAGATCAATCATGTCAGTGGGAGCTTATCTGAGAGGCAGGCATTGCTCATTGCTTAAGGAACCCTTCTGGAAGAACTCTAAGCTTCCAACAAACCCTGGTTGAGAAATCCTGACCCAGAGTCTGAAAATGTATATGTTGGCAGATGGTGGGTACCATATCCTAAATTCAGATTAAACTAAATACCATATAAATTAATTTTAAGGTTCCTAGACAAAACATGAGCAGTTAAAAAGGTTCAACTTTATTATTACAAAAAATTACAATCAAAAAGCATTTAAAATAGTAAATCCCCTGCTTATTGCAGGTGTTGTGAAGAATCCTCCCACTAAAAATCTCCCCCCCTTCCCCCAGAGAGAGACACAAATCAGCTGGATACAACACAATTATATGTATATCAAATTAAATAACAATATGTTATTGTAACAATATGTTACAATTGTTAAATAACAATATGCTGACTTATAGGTCAAATAATGTGCTGGGAAAATCCAAGCTTGGGGATTCTTGAGCACAGCCGCTTCTTTAGGAGGAGTAAGGGAGGTCCTTAGGAAATGTAAATAGTAAAAACATTTTCAATCACATCACAAAGGTACAGAATATGCATGAATTATGCAATATTTCACCAGCTCACTGTCCATGTGCTCAGAGGGTCCAGACATGGGGGGGTGGGGGGCAAAAACACCAAACTCAAAAGCCCCCAGGGGGCAAACAAGTCATTCGGACTGCAAAAAGGATCAGACAAGAAAAAATTAGCCCATTATTCTGAACCCACAATCAAATAATAAAAACTACTGGAATAGTGTCCACCCACCTGTGTGGTGGCAGACAACAGTCAATATTCTCCCATTCCAATCATAAGAATTATGCAAAGAGGACATCCAGTAACATAACATTTTTGTACTGTGCCATCAAATTACCATACCAGTCTGGGAAAATACAAAAGAATTTACCAATTTAACACCAACCCAGGTGTGACCCCACCTTATTAATAAGAAGCTAGGTAATAATTACTAATAATACATTTCCATGACAAATGGCACAAATTGCTCATAATCAGCTCTATAATTAGGGCCTGTCAATTCATCTTTGCAAAAAGAATATTGCCAATCCACTGCAACTGGAGCCCACTTGGAATGTATTCAAAAAGAAGGACACTACCCACATCCGGAAGAGTAGAGTATCAGGACAATATTGTCAACTATGAGGGACCAAAAATGGAGACAAGCACAAGTAATATATAGACCTACATAGCAACCAAGATACTTCACAGATAAAATCCAATAAAGTCCATACCATATAACTGCTACAGGGTAACTGCATAACACAAGTAAGCTAGCCTTACATGTTCACAAGCAGAATGTCCCCCTGTAAGAACAGTTCAAAGTAGCAGCCTCCCTCACAGTCCTCCTCTGGGGGGACACCAGCACTGGTCTCTTTTACAATTTATTATTATTATTTATAACTCCACTTTTGTTGAGAAAAGAACATTCCCCTCTGGGTGAACAATGTACATTGTGAGGATTTTAACAAATGTTTTTTCTGTTCTGAAGAAAAAGCAGTTGTTTATGTCAATGTGCAAAGTGAATCTGCCTGGGAGTGACTTTTTCTTAATTAATCAGCTGAAGCACTTGCAATGTTCTAATGAGGAAAGTTGCAGGGTCTGCATCCCTTTAGAAGTGATTAACCCTTTGGGAGCATCTTACCAAAACTGACATTTTTGTTTAAGGAGGTGGCTCAGGGGCAGACTGACATCTCATGGGGCCCCCGGGCAATAGGGGATCATGGGGCCCCTATGTCCTTGCCCAAACTTAAAAAGCCTATGAAAAAGGTACCAGGGGCATCTCATGGGGCCCCCTACTGACCCTGGGCCCCATATCACATGGTCAATTCGCCCCTGGGGTGGCTAAAACCTACCTTGTATCTTAGCGCAGACTTCTGGGAAGATTAGTGAGCCAATCACGCAAATGATGGGTCTGGGAGTGATCTGTACACAACGCTTCTAGGTTGCCATATTTCAATGAGTTTTACAAAGAATTACAGAGCTGCAGATTGAACAGGAAAGGTAATTTTAATTAACATTCAATTACAATATGACTTGTGTAGCAATTGTATATGTATTTTATTTACTAGGGGTAGCACAGTGGTGAGTCATTGGTTCAAATTCCAACTACGGCACCCCCTGCCTGGGGTTTGCATGTTCTCTCTGTGCCTGCATGGGTTTCCTCCGGGTATTCTGGTTTCCTCCCACTCTCCAAAGACATGCTGGAAGGTTAATTGGCTCCTGTCTAAATTGGCCCTAGTGTGTGAGTTAGGGACCTTAGATCGTATGCTTCTTGAGGGTTAAGGAATGATGTGAATGTACAATATATGTATTGTAAATTGGCAGAACTATATAAGTACCTGGAATAAATAATAATATT